TCCCCCTCCCCCCCCCCCCCCCCCTCTCTCACCAGATGAAGTAACCCCCGTCCTCGCTGATGTACTCCCCTCGCACGTCGTCGCCCAGGCTGTTGGTATAGAGGGTGTCCGCCGAAGGGAAGTCGTCATCCTCTAGGTTAGACGCAACCACCTCCACGCACGTGTCCGAGTCCTGGGCTCTAGCGGCTGGAAGAGAATAATCGAGCGGAATGTCCGATCGGGTTCGAGAAACAATCAAGAACAATGTTGGGGTTGCACTGAGATTTCCATGGACGTTGCACGCGAACAGATTCGAAAGAAAACAAGAACAATGGTTGGAGTTGGACTCTTTAATATTTTCCATGAACATTGCCCGCAAGATACTGTTACACTTGGATAGGGGGATGCTGCGGCATCGCTATCATAGTCCTAAGCAATCGCGATGCGACAGACGTCAAGAGTGCGCCACAGTCAACGATGTCCTACCAATATTGTCATAAACGTCTCTTACATGTCTGAAAGGAACACACGGTGCACACACGTGCAATTCCCCCCGGGGAGTGTGAGCAAAGCACCGGCGGAGGGACACAATCTTAGCACCAACAGACACAAACGTACTTTTCGACCACTAGGAAGCACAGGGATTGTTATTGGGAGTTGATACCTTGCGATGAGACGCAGGCCTCGCCTCGATACCTCGTCATCTCAACGCTATCTACCATAATCATGCTGTGTGCGTAACGGCAAAGGGACCAGGCTCCAGTGAAATATGCGGAGCCCCCCCCCCCAACCCCCCATGAATTGCTAAAGTTCGACCTTCCAGACATGGAGTGTGTAGCCAATCACATTCTCTGAAAATAACATCCCTTGACTTGTATGTAGCCAATCACATCCTGTGAAATGTAGCTTCTAGTCGGCTTCTAGTCAGTGTCAACCGCACACTGTTCTGGGGGGCCTCCGATAGTTTTCTCTCGAGACAAAACGCTTGGCAGCGTGGCAGCTGTTGCGTGTGCACGGGCTCTTGACCACGAAGAGTTAACTAATTGTATCCTAACGTGTGAGGGAGGGGATGTTTTCGTCTCTTTCTTTTTCGCGAACGAGACACAATACTCACACAACATCGGTAAAACCAGTTGAGGGAAGCGGATAGCTCTAGAGGGAGAGAAATGCAAGAAGAGAGAGATGAAGGGGGGGGGGGGGGGGGGGTCGAATGGCGTTGCGTGTGATTGCATTGCGCAGGGCCTTCGGCATTGGTGTTCTAGACTCAATCCGGCTAGAGTTGGGGATGAGGTGCTCTACTTCTTTTCTGCCCTTGCCTGGTTCTTGTACGCGTCAAACTGCTTTCACCGCGTGTAAATTTGCGCAAACAATCGCTGCTACTGCTGCAAGTGGTATTACAGTCGGTCCAGAAGAGTTGAAACGCTTCAGCAGCTGGCGCGCACGCGCGACGTCGGGTGTCAGAATTTCAACGAAAAGCGCAAAAACAGAAACCGAAGGAATTCAACTCTGAAGACAAAAAAAAGTGATCTCTCCAAGACAAAAATGTGACACACGTACACCTACGTACGCGTACGTCCTTTCCTTCTCGTGCGTGGCACGCCTTCTACGGGAGGGTTGGACTGACACACGGCTAGGAGGACGGGGCCACAAGTTCGTTTATGGAAACTCCGGTGCGGCAAGAGCGTATTACTCCTCTGCCGTCAACTCCAGGTGAAACCACACGGGCTGGCAGGGGGAGGAAGCACACGCACAGACAACAAACGTTCAAGGCACATTATCAATACACCCCCCCCTGCTGGGCTGCTTCCTTAGACTAGTGAGTCGTCTGCCTCGGGTAAACATGCACTAGCGCGTTACACATTGAGAATCTGGGATTCAGGGCCACAAAGAGAAAATGAAAGGACCTTGACCATGACCAAAGGGTGCTGAGCGAAAGAATCCTGCAAGGGCCGTTTTAAACACAGCCATTTCGCTTCCAAAGTTCCAAATTCCGACTCTGCAGATTTCCATTTTTTTTCGGAAGCAACTCGTTTCCAGATTTCAAATTTCCATTTTTCTTCCTCGGCCTCAAATCGAGGTTCTATGGATTTGGAATTTTGGAAATTTGGAAGCGAAATAGCTGTTGGTAGTTTCTCCGTTGGTTCCCCCGCCCATCACAGAGCACCAGAGACTCCAAAGAACGAGCCTCGGTGCAGAATACTTGCGAGAGGTTCTCACGTGGGGGCGCGTACTAGCTTTAGTGTGGATCTTGCACAAGGGATACAGCTCAAGTGTAGCCGTGTGCATACGGTTTTGGTCGCGATATAGTGAAATGTAGGGGCAAGAGCAAAATGGAATGTCACTAGTCAGGGCAGCGCCACTATTCGACGTAGTCGCAATAACACCACCATTGACCGGGCAAGAGCGGTTCTACTGCCACTATCGAGGAGAACAAGCTTTGATATTGTACGCTACCGACAGTATATTTCGTTGGATCTACACTCACATGCGTCTGCCCATCACATGTGAAATTACACTTGATCGTCCACGAGACAACGAGGCCTTCTGCGGTCGCAACCTACCTTTTCATTGCGTGCTGGCGGACTGCAGAAATAACGCCACAGCATTTTGTTTTTTGTTCGGCGGGCATGATGGCGTTCAACACAAGCAAAACACACATACTAAAAAGAGCAGTGTACGCGCGAAACCAACTTGATCAACCAAGTTGAAAACGGCAAACACTCCGACCCCGGCGTATCAATCCCGACCGTCACAATGCTCTGCACCAAGGCGTCCCGATCATTTCTTATCAATGCATTTACATGTGGCACCCACTGCCGGAGTTGAAGAAGATGTTCTGCCTGCTTGCCGGCCAAACTGCCGCAGCAACAGCAGCTGACAATGTCCGCTGCCCATGGTTGCTCGGAACGCGACAGGAGTACATGTATTTGTGTGGTGCGCAAGGTGACATATGTATGGGGGGGGCTCCGACGTTTTTAATTGCCACTATTGGGGGTATGAGATGCCAAAAATGCCACTATAGAGGACCCCGTTTTCAACAGGCAGTGGTAAAATGCCACCTATACGTATATCGGATTGTGATGCCTACAATTAGAAATATCGGACATTTCACTATTCAGCGCTATATCGGGACGATTACTGCTGTAGCGAAACCAACCTTTCACCCACAGGTATGCATACATATGCGAATGTACATGTACATAGGGCACAGTATTCAACACACTTTCAAACGCCTCCCCTCGCCAGGGCCCATGAAACCGAGGATGAGCGGAACAACTGAATTACTTGTGGCATAGAAGCAAGCGAGCAGGCTATTTCCAACGCCGCACACCCCTGGTGCTTTCCTGTTTACAAAATCTACAGCGTTCACAACAATGTTTTGGGGTAGTTTAGATAACTTACAGCAGTAGTCATGACCACAGAAGGCATCTGCGTCATTTGAACAGTACGGACATTCGTAGGTACTGAGCGGAGACCGGAACGGTGTTTTATGCGAAGACAGCAACAACAACGAACTACAACAGCAGTGGCACTAGTGTATCCATGCATACATGCGTTCGTAAAAGAGTTTGCTCCCTCTCGGGCAAGTCTACAGTATTACCGTCGCCCAAACCAGGGGATCTGGAGTGGGGGCGGAGCGAAGTTCTAAAACACTGGCCGCCACGTTCAGTACGAGGGCCTTTGTACTTAAACACGTCCCCAATCGGCCGGCATCAGATAGCCGCCACTCATTTCCCCTACGTACTTGTACTGCTGTCTAGAACTGCAAACAGCCTCAAGCATATATATGTATATATATATTTTCTTAATATGACACAACGAAACCATCTCTATCATAGAAAAGAGTCTGAGACAGATTAGCAATGGATTCATAGCGTCAGAAAGTATATATTTGTGTTCCGAGACGAAAAGACTGCTTGCTCTCTCTCTCTCCCTCTCTCCCTCTCCTCTCTCCTCGCTTTTGCAGCAAACATCACCGCCGTCACAACAGCAAAGACACAACACACAGTCATAACAACGCCGCCACCACCGCCAGCCCCCAACCAAGCTTTCGGGCACTGCCCGAACAATTTTTTGTTGTGCTGCATGCGTATCAACGCGTACGTGAGGTTGCTGCATGCTGCTGCACCCTCTCTTTTCCCCACTCTGCCCTCCTCTCTCGTGCTGCCTTTTTCTTTCTCGCTTTCTCTGGTGCCGCCATCGCACGCAAGCACAGACGAATCAACGAACAGACACAGTTCCACAAGGCTCGCCGCGTAGCTTATGGGCTGCCCCGTTATTTTTGTGGGGGGGAGGGCGGCCCTTCCTATTGTAGTCGGCATGGCGGGGAGGCTGGAGGTTGTTGTTGCCGTTGATGCACGGGTGTGCGTATGTGCCTGTCCGCCTGTTTTTTGTAGACTAACCTCTCTCTCGTTTTCTCTTTGGCACAAAACAAATAGAGGAAGGACCAACGGTTTGTTATCATCAAAGTGCCCGAGTGCCAACATACAGAGTATAAGCTAGCGTGGGTTGGGGGCGCTCTTGGGAGAGACGAACGCGCCTTGTCCGCTGTTGGTTCACTACTTAAGGGTGTGCATGTTCTTATCACCTTGATAAAAGGCACTCTAATTTCGCTTGCTGCTTGTTTCCGGTTGATCAAATTTGGCTGGACCACAACGGCAGCCCACCTGCCACCTGCCCAACACCAGCTGTCCGAGGAATGTATGTATTGGCGCAGGCTAACAGTCCTGTGTTTTTTATCCTGTGAAGATCTATTCTCGAGTTTTGTTTTATACAAATCACGAGAGTTTTTCACAAAAAATGTACAAAGCAGCGAAAGGCCCAAAAAAATCCCGCCGCTCCATGAATCGAGTTTTTTTTTTTTTGTTCTTAGTATGACACAACGAACTAAATAACTCTAATGGACTTGCTGTCTTGCTTCCCTCTGTGTGACGCACAAGAAAAAACAAAAAGAGATGGATTCGTTGTGTCATATTAAGAAAAAAAACAAACAAAAAAAACAGCTGAAGCTTGGCTAAAGAAAAAACTCTAGGACATGTCGAGTAGACCTCACCGACTTGACCGTGAAGACGGCATTGCCCCTAAGCGTATTATGTATGAATCATATTATGTATGAACCACCACAAATGTTTGCCATGGGGGCATGTTTTGCACAGATGATGCTTGCCCACACACGCACTGCAACAGTGTCCGCGGCAGCGCCGGTGTATCATTTTTTCGGAACGGAAAATGTTTGAAAAGTTCTTTTTACATGCACTGTCGTTGCAATAAAAATATGGATGGACTCGTTTATGTTCAACGTGTGACGGCGGGCGTGGTGGGTAAAAAAACACGTTTGTATGTCCTAGGTCGAATGCAGGTAAAGGGCGTCCGGCGCAGCACGGGAATATGCGTCAAAAATCACCTAGGATAGCTGCAGAAGTCCTTGCTACTCCCACAACTAAACTCCCAAAACTGCCAACAGCAGTAGAAAGAGTGTTTTTCGCAAAATCGGGCCCCGAGAGAATGAGGGCCGAAGTACTGCCGCCGTGGCAATGCTGGGAGGGATCATTGTGACACCAGATAACCCATCCACAAGAGCGGCCCTCTCCCAGTAAAGCGCAAACAACAGCCCACCGGACGCGTCCACTCCTCCTGCTAGCTACATATCAACCGCCCCCGCCGGGCAAACAGCAGAGATGTAACAGCAGAGATGCGAGATAAACCGAAGAGATAACAAGGAGTCGGGGATTGCGAAAGATTACTGCTGTGTGCGCGCACCTGGTGCCTGGAAAGCTAGCAGCGCCAACGCGGCAGTGTAACCCAGCCCGCACAACGCCCATCGCCGTGGAGCCATGGGTTTGTCTCCGCAGTCCAGCAGCTGGCTGCCTTCCTCCCTCTCAGGCTAGCTCCGCTCACTCCCGCTCTTCGTTTAAACGACGACCGCACACAACAACCTCTCGCCTTCTTCGTACTTGTTTTTTGGACCGTCGAAGGACCTCGACGTCCTCTGTTTCCCGCACTTTTCCAACACACGGCAAAACGCGCACAATCACCTCCCCCAGTCTTCCGAGCAAGGATGGATCTACGGCAGCCCTCTTCGCCCAACGTTTGACGACTCCGGCGGGCAGAGGACAGATACGAGACAGAAGTCGGGCTCCGAGATTGTTAGACCTGCTGTCAGCACGCTGGGTGGGGGGGGGGCACAAAAGAAAGTCTTGCCGAGGTATACGTTTTCCAGTGTGTGGGCCCCCTTCAGTATGGAATCAAGGAAACAACTGGGAAACCACGGCGCCGTTGTTGTGTGACAGCAGCACAGAAGTGAGCGGTCGGTGCCCGCGTCGGCGTGTGTGTGTGGCATTCGTGCCTTTGTCACTCCTCCAGGTGAGCAGGACTGAGGAGTGGCACGTCGTCGCTGAGCAGTGACAGCAGCAGCAGTGAGACACGGAGAGACACGACGGACACACAAAAGGGAGACGGGAGACGCGGACGAAAGGGTGAGTCTGCCATCGTTTGTGTGGGCAGTTTTCGAAAGGAGTTTGTACACGCTGCCCCCCCCACATATGCGGCAATGGGATACACACAAGCTGCTGTGGCTTGTGGAAGACTCTCTGCTTTCCGGTGCGTGTCCTTGTTTGTGTCAACATACGGCGGTCGAGTTAGGTTAGTGCTCACACGGCAAGCTTGTGACGGGGCACTTGTAACAGCAGTAGTGCCGTCCTGCCACTGTCAACCAACCTGTCACTGAAAGAGTCGGAGGAGCCCACCGGCCATGCCCACAACAACATCTGCTGCTGGTGTGTGCTGTCTTCGAAACCTCGCCTGGTTCGGAGCGTCCACGCCTACCCGCACCCTTGAGCCCCGACCCACAAGCACGAATCACACTCATCCCGGAGTTGAAAGTGCCTCGCCTGTACTCGGACTACATGTGGATAGTCCAGGGATTTTGCAGGAAGGGGAGCCGCGAAACTTCATTGTGCGAGCCCGCATGTTGCCCGGCGTTCATTCTACACATACATATGAATCGGCAAAGGGTAAAGGCCTACAGCCAAGAGACGGCGCTGGGTCCTATGCATAGGATTGACATGCGCATCGTAGGGCTGTAGTCTAGACCCTGCCATACGTTGTACCGCTCAATATGTTGTTGTTGTTGTTGTTGTTGTTGTTGTTGTTGTTGTCTTCACATTAAAAACCGTTCCGATCTCTCTCTACCCAGTACCTTCATATATCCATACTGATCCAACACTTGACGCGGTCGATTCCCGTGGTGATAGGCTAACTTACCCTAAAAAGGTACGCTCAAATAAATTGGCCCCGAGGGGTCCGCAAGTCGATAGAAATCAACGACAGATATTCTGGAGTCCTCCGCTCCCTCTGCACGCTATGCGAGGTAACAAGATATGCACCGCCGAGGTCTTGCCTCGGATGTGTGTTTCTTCATGCTCAGGCCGAAGAGTTGTAGTGTAGACACTTTGGAGATGGAGACATATTTCGCGTATCATTTACATGCGTTTTGCATGGGCATTGTACAATGGTGACTTCATGAGTCGCGAGGGAAGGGATTGCTGTACCCTTCTCGCGATAAAAATATCTCAGGCAGGAACCGCAGGAGGGGGTCCAACCCCCCCCCTCCTATGTGACCCCGGTTGGGTCGTCTAGCTAGTAGTAGAGGTGGAGGATAGGGGCCAGAGGGGCAGACGACAGAATCCAATGATGGGAGAAAACAAAAATGTGTTTATTTAGTGACTTTTCGAGGTGTGTTTTTTTTCAAGTGTTGTATTCTACTGCTGTACAGCAAGCAGCACACAAAGGAGTAGGTACCGTATCCACGGAGATAAATACTGACCGTACAGAATGTACTCAATTCCGAGATAACTTCAAGTACTCCACAACTACAAGTACCGGAATTGTATGTAATAAAAGTACACGGGAAGGAGGTAGAATAGCGCTCCCACCAACGAACGCACCATCCACGACTCGACCTAGCCGCTGAACGCTACGACACACGTACGCCCGACCCTATAAAAATTTACAATTTTAATTTTAAAAATTGAGCCACAACCATGTGTGCATTCTACATATTCGGCGATTCGCTCGAGCCCTCCCTCTAACGGATAAAATTTGTCAACGCTTCCCATGAAGGGACGCATTCAACAGATGCGCGGGGATGAGTTTTACAGCACTCGATCCCGCCCGTTGGTACTGACTGATCTGCACGGTTTTTACTCCCAGCTGCGAGAGCCTACTCCCAACCCCCTCAAACCTAGTACTGTGTAAGGAGCAACACCGACAGGTTGTTGAATGAAATACTTTTCTTTTTTTTTTCTCTGCCTTAAAGAAACGCGAGGTTGGCATCACCTCCCTTTGAACGGGTTTTCTTGCCTCTCATTGGAGCGAAACTATCGAAGTTTTTTGGTAGACATGCCTTCTTTGGGAGACTGCTGGTGGTGGGCCCACTATCCAAGTGTAAGAAATTGCACCGCCAAAACCGTGTGGCACGCGTAGTGGCGTCACCTAATGGAACGCTTGGTCCTTTGCATTTGCAGCGATATGCCTATGTACAAATGCGACTTTTTTGGTGGTTATTTTGTTTTTTTCTCTGGTGGGACAGCGTTTTTTCTCACGCTTTCTTCTGAATGGCACTCAGAGGACCCGTCGGTACATTTCCCGTTTCGTGTGGGGCTCGCGGGACCTCGGTGATGCGCGTGATGGCCGCTGAAAAGTCGCTGGGACTGGTTCTATTCCAGGGGCTGCGAATCCAACCAAACAAGCCTTCAGATATATACATGAAAGCTGAACAGGAACACTTTCTTGCGGGGTGTACTCCTCTTTGATTCCTGCGCAACGCACACAAGTCCCACAAACCTTGGGCAACACGAATACGTGAGAGCGAATGATCAAACGCTGCGGACTGCAGCAGTAGAACCTACAGCAAAGACGTCATCGCTGGCCTAAAAGCACACACTCATGCACACGCGAAAAGGCACAGCGAGAAAACAAAAATACCCCGCGCATGATGCAAGATTCCAAGCAAATTCTGAAGGTTGTTGTATGCGAAACCGGCACCCATACCGATCGTCATGACGTTTGAGATGCAACGATGCGACCGCGATGGCATTGACCATGTCCTCTTGCGTCGCCCCCGGGAGGCAAGTCAAGTAACTCCCGAAGGGGAGCCTTGTATACTGTGCCTTGTTGGTTTCTCAGGGTCGTATTCCTTCCTTTGTTGTTCCTTTTCTTTTCAGAGGATCAAAACAAAACATGTGTACAACAAACTGACTTTTCAGATCTAGACGTTAAACTTTGCAGAATTATGTAGTAGCGTTCCTGGGACCAGTCCTGGATGCCAAACGGTGGGACGTTCCAGAACAGGGTAAATATAGTTCTGACCGATTTTCCAGTCCGAAACTGTCTACAAATGCACGGTGGTGAATAGCGAAAATGTATGTTTCTTTTTTCTCTACAGCCAACGCCCGTGCTTAATTATTTGGCAGTCAAGAAATTGATACAGTCTCCAAGAACTGGGAGTCTAAGAACTTGAGCACCATTGGTGAACACGGTTAAGAACCTCTACACTAATACCATTCGAAGCAGAACCCTGGGAAGTATTGTAAGAGCCCCACCTTCGGGAAAAACTAGGGGTTCTTGACTGCGGGCGCCCACTCTTTCCGGAAACGCGATAAATTTTATGACAAATGGCAGCACAAGCCACAGCAGAGCACAACCCCCTTGCCTTGCCAAAGCCAAAGCACGGCCTTCAACCAACACGGGCGGCGTGGCCGAGAATGTTCGCACGCAACCTGACGTTTACCTTGGACGGGGGGGCACGGGAGCCGGCCGGCTTGTGGCAGTTTTCCTGGCGACCTTGGCATCACTTTATAGTGTACAGAAAAAAGGGCTTGTATGCGTACGCCCGTCGATGCGATGCCTCACGTTAACATTCTGTTTGGAGCACCGCCGCAACTCCGTACGTTTATTTGGCGAGATAATCTTTCTCAGACCGCAAACTCTCAGTGTTATGCTGGCAGCAGTCGACTTTCTTTTTTCACTTCGTCGTTGGTGATGCGGTACTCCCCCCCCCCCCCCCTCCTCTCTACTTGCTTACATGCACGTCTCCCGTAACCTTGCCCTCTCCCTCTGGTTCCCCTCTGCCGGTCCACCCTCGTACACATGACCATGATGCCGCCTTTACCTTCTTCCCAACGGTCAGAATCGCAGCGGGCGGCAAGCCTGCAGGCGTTGCTGCGGGTCGGGGGGGGGGGGGGCGGATACAGCGCCATAATACCCTCTCCCACCACCACGTTAGCGTGTCGTGCGCTTGGGGCATCGAGCCACTTCGGTGACCCGGTTGATGGAGGAGTAGCAGTAGCGGTGCCGGCACCAGCAGCATCAAGCAGAGGCACCAAGTCACCATGGGGAACAAGATGAGCGTCTCGTCGACCTTTTCTCATGCAAGCAGCGGTGGCAGCAACAGCAGGCGCGGCAGAGGCAGCAGCAGCAGCTACAGCAGAAGCAGCAACAGCAGCAGCAGCAGCATCAGCAGCATCAGCAGCATCAACATCGACAGCAGCAGCAGAAGCACCAACATCGACAATTCCAGCAGGGGTGTGGACGGCGGCACCGCCTACTCCTCCTCTACCCTAACACCTCCGCGGCTGGACGACGACAGCGGCAGCAGCGGCGGGAACACCCACCGGTTTTACCATCCGGAAACCCCCCGCCGAGAGACCGCTTTCCACTGCGCGATATGGCCGCAGCTGCGCACGCCGCCGTCGGCGGAATCTTCGGAGACGAGCAGCCTGTCCGGTGGGGCGACGGAGGGCGGTGGGAGCATGTTCGTCGCCAGTAGTACCCCCGCTGATTCTCCATCGAGGACGGCGGCGGCGGCGGCGGCAACGGCGAGCGTCTCTACCCCGAGGGGTGCTTTTGGTGCTGCTGCTGAGGTTGGTCGCGAGCGGTACCCGATGTTCTCGCTGTCTTCGCTCCGACGGGTGGGGGGCGTGGCGGCGGCATTCGGGGGCTTTTCTACGGACAGCGACAGCGGCGGCGGCGGTGGTAACGGCAGCAGCGACAGCGACAGCGACAGCAGCGATAGCAGCGACAGCGACAACGGCGACCACGACAGCAGAGGGTTCAGGAGCGCCGAGGGCAGCTGCAGCGACAGCAGTAGCATCAGCTGCAGCACGCGGAGCATCGGCTTCAGCGACGACGACGATGGCGACGGCGACGGCGGCGGCGGTGGCGGCGGCGGACACCCAAGGGTGTCGGACACGGGGGTGCAGGGATACTTCACCCGATCTCGCAGGCGCTTCTCGACGCAGCAATCAGGGGGGACACGGGAAGGGCTGGCTCTCGAGGGCTGGGGCGGTAGCGCCAGGGGGGCTGCGCGGGAACAGGAGGAGGTCGGAGGGGCTGGTTTTTCGTGGGATTCGGGGAGAGGTGAGCGGACGGTAAGGGTGTGAGTGAACGCGCGCTGCTTGCTACGGAGCAAGCAAGGGGAAGTGGGTAACAACACGAGCGGGATGATGTCGAAGAGTTGACTTGAGTGCAGACGAGGCTGTGCTTGAACTGCCGTGGTGTGCGCCGAAGATGACGATGATCTCTACAGCGCGTGTTGTTTTCGCTTCACTCACCCCGGTGCAAGACGTTGTGGTAGAGGCGTGTGCTGTGGTGGGTCGTGGTTGCAAGCGGTGTGCAATCAGGCACTGCTGAAGTTTGATGATGCGAGGCCGGTGCGGGGAACACGAGGTATGCATATCCACCGTCCGTATGACACCCGATGGAATATGCACGCCACACTCCGGGGGTGAATCTCGGAAGGTCGCTGTCACGGACCGAAGAAGGCGATGCCGGCATTCACAGATGGCTCTTTTCAGGAGGGCTCTGTGGCACAACAGCTTTGTTGTTGTTGTTGTTGTTGTTGTTGTTGTTGTTGTTGTCTTAACATTAAAAAAGAACGTTCCGGGTTCTGCCACATTTAGTGAACACGTTTTTCGTGCGTGGAAGGTACTGAGATCGGAAAACCGGCCCAGGGCATGTGTGGTGTCGCACGGAACACACTTTTCCCTCCCGCCACCACGATGCCAATTTTTGGCTTTCTCTACCAACGCTCGGTCTCTTTGCCTTCCCTCGTTCTCCCTCCCCAAACGTTCCATCACCTCCAATGCCACCAACATGGGCCGAACTCCCCCCCCTCCCCTTACCTGCCACCACCGTTGGTCAAACTCTCCCCCCCCCCCGCACCTACATAGTAGGAAGTTGGTCATTGGTGATCGGTCCTGTGGGAAAAAAAAAACGGTCCTCTCGAGGACGCGTGGTCGGTGGTCTTTTCGCGTGCATAGCATGAGTACGCCCCCTTCACTTACGTACCACCATGCCCGACATCCCCCGGCCGACACGCTCCCGCCCTCCGGCAGCACCAGCAGCGAGGGCAGCACCGTCGACAACTCCCGCGAGGCGCTACATACCGGCCTTTAGTTTCGGTTCCTTGACGTCGAGATCGCGGAGAGGGTCCACGGGGGTGACGAGGTCGTTCGACGAGCGGGGGGAGAGGCGCGGAAATGCACCGCCCAGACAGGCTCTGCACCTGGCACCACCGGATTGGACTGGCACCCCACCGAGGTCTGGACCGCAGCGATGTCCTAGGTGAGATCAGTCTCTCAAAGACTTTGTTGTGCTGCTGCTGCTGCTGCTGCTGCTGCTGCTGTTGTTGTTGTTTCGTTTTTGCGTTGGCCCGACGCCAGTCGTAGGAGGTAAGTTATGTGGCTGGGGGGTGTATACTCGTAGCCGTGCATGCCGTAGTCGTAGGACCGTTGGCCTCGCATCCCTAGGAAGAACGCCGGGTTCTCACCGGACCAGGCTAAATTGCGCATCCATCACCAAGGAGCGCGAAGAGCCGTGAGGCACAATTCGGAGAGACGCATGGAGGGTGCGCTGCAAGGGTTGTCGGCATCTTGTCTTCACGTCCTTGCGTACGGATTGTTGTTGTTGGGGAGGAAGAAGGGGCAAAAGTTGTAACACGAAGCTTGTGTTGACGGCAAGTACTGGTCACGGGGGTCAAATGCCTAAGCGACGCCTCTCTCTCTCTGCCTCACGGCATGGTTCGAGGAGCGCATGCTCCGACGATGCCGCTGTAGGCCCTATTTGCAGACGAAGGGAAGCAACGAACGGGCACGATTCATTCGGTACGACGACCTTCATTTTGTGTTTCCTCCCCCCCCTCCCAAACATTGCTTGGGCCGTACACGTGTGTGACAACTTGGACTTGGTCGTTGGCTGAACCGCCGTACGCTGGGCTCTCGGGGACAGCAGGGCCACGACGGTCACGGAGGAGTCGACCCCAACGGCCACCCCAGCGGCGGCTTCCGCCGCTAGCCCTGCTTCTTCTTCCGCCGCCTCAGCCTCTGCTTCTCCCGTCGGCGGTGGCGGCGGCGCCGGCGGAGGCGGCAGCGGTGGATTTTCTGCCGCCGCTGCTGCTACTGCTGCCTCCTCCTCCCCCTCCTCCTCCGCGACTGTGTTAGCACCGACGTCCTCCTCTTCACATTCTTTGCGGACCACGGCGGCGGCGGCGACAAGGGGAACGCCTTCGACGGTGTCGATGCCGTCGTCGTCGGTGTCGACCTCGTCCCCGGAGGAGGAGCGCCTG